ATTAATTTTTCAACCACACATATGAGACCAAGAAATACCAGAGCTCTTGCACTGACTTGACATTGAGATCCTACAAATATTTATACCTTTTAGGAATACAGAGACGTCAAGTAACAGTTTATCAAGAGTACAGGTTTCATTTGGGGGGTTATTTTCACATGACACAGGAATGGTTCCAGTTGCTCACATTCTTACCAGCACTTATATTGTCAGGTTTTTCATTTCTTTGAGCTGTTCTAATACAGATGTAGCGTTGTGATTTTTAAAACAGCTTTAGAGATATAATTGACATATGATACACTGTACAACTGTTAAAGTGAACAGGTTGATAAATTTGACATGTATACATCCATGAGACCATTACCACAATTAAGATAGAACACATCTATTGATATTACCCCAAAGATTCCTAGTGCCCCTTTGTAATTCTCCTCTTCCACCCCAGGCCCCCTACCCAAGCCACCGGTGATTTGCTTTGTCACTATTAATTAGTTTTATATAAATGGAGTCATACAGTATACACTATTTTTATGTCTGGCTTTTTTCTTTCAGCATGACTATTTTGAGATTTATCCATGTTATTTTATGTAGCAATAGTTGATTTTCTTTTTACTGCCAAGTTGTATTCCATTGTATGGATATACAGTTTGTCCATTCACTTGATGAACATTTGGGTCGTTTCCAGCTTTTGGTGGTCACAGACAAGTCACTGAACTGAGACAACTTTTTTTTTCTATGTCTATTTTTTAATTGACTTTACTGGGGCATAATTTTATAAAATGTACTCTTTAAAAGTACATAATTTGATGAATTTTGACAAATTCATACTCCCTTTTAACTAACACCACATCAAGATATAGAACATTGGGGCTTCCCTGGTGGCGCAGTGGTTGGGAGTCTGCCTGCCAATGCACGGGACACGGGTTCGTGCCCCGGTCTGGAAAGATCCCACATGCCATGGAGTGGCTGGGCCCGTGAGCCATGGCCGCTGAGCCTGCGCATCCGGAGCCTGTGCTCCGCAACGGGAGAGGCCACAACAGTGAGAGGCTCACATACCGCAAACAAAACAAAACAAAACAAAACGATATAGAACACTGGCTTCACGTGAATGCAAAGGTTCCCTTGGGGGTTCTTTTCAGTCAGTGTCACCCACTTGCCCATTCCTAGCAACCACTAATTTGCTTTCAGTCACTCTAGAATAAGTTTGCGATTCCTATAGTTATAGAAATGGAATCATACAGTAACATAATATTAGTTTCTTGCTTTTTTGCTGAGCATGTTTTTAGATTCATCCATGTTGCAAGTATTGTTGCAAGTATGTTCATTCCTTTTATTACTGAATAGTATTTCATGACATTAATTTACCACAATTTATCCATTGATGTGTTGTTGGGCACTGGGTTGTTTCCAGTTTGGGGCTATTATGAGTCAAGTTACTATAAACATTCATGTTCAAGCCTTTGTGTGGACACATTTTCACTTCTGGGTAAATACCAAGGAGTGAAACTGCTGGGTATGGTAAGAATACATTTAATTTTTTAAGAAACTGCCAAACTCTTTTCCAAAGTGGTTATACTATTTTATACTCAGACTAGCAACATGTGAGGGTTCTAGTTCTGCATGTCTGACAACACTTGGTATTTAAAATTTTTAAGGTCTTTTAAATTTTAGTCATCTTATGGGTATGTAGTAGTATCTCATTATGTTTTCAATTTGTATTTCCCTGATGAATAATGATGTTGAGCATTTTTTCAAGTTTTTATTGGCCTTTCATATATCTTTTGTGAAGTGTGTTCGAAAATGTTTCCTATTCTTAATTAGGTTGTCTCATAATTTTTGAGTTGGAGTTCTTCACATAATCTGGCTACCAGTCTTCTGTCAGAACAATTTTTTTTTTCATATATATTCCCACTGTGCTCAAGCCACAAGGTTCTTTGCTCTTTCTTAAATAGGCTAAGGCCATATCTGTCTCAGCCTTTGAACACTCTTTGTTGCCCGGAATGCTGCTCTTCAAATACACACAGAACTTGCTTCCAGACCTCCTCCAGTCACTGTTCAAATGGCCCTTTTTGGTGAGATCTTTCTTAACCATCCTATTTAAAATAGTAATACCCACGGCCTGACATTACCTCATTTCCTCTGGTTTTTTCTCCATAGCATATACCCACCCTATTTGTTATTTACCTGTCTTTTTGTTTAAAGAAAAGTATTGACCAACATGAGCCCCAAGCATAAAAAACATGGAAAATAATTCTCTACAGCCTGTTCAGCGGATTACCTTCTCTTTTAGAGGCTGATACACTTAAGGATGACAAGTCAAATCTGTGAGCCTGCTGGTTGAAGAGGTTGACTCCATTAACGTACTGTCACCTCTCTCTGAAGAACCTCAGGTAGGTCGCCGACTGCGTTCGGCTCCAGGAGATCCTTCCCCAGTGAGCGTACCCAGAACAAGAAGCAAACTGAATCCCGCCTGCCTCGAAAAAGAACTGTTGAATCTCAAGCAGCAGAGACGTACGTAGAGCTCATTGGAGCCAATACTTTTCTTTGCACGGGAAGAAACTGAGGACGTCTCGTCCAAGGTCAACGTGCTTAAGGACCGGGCGGAGCCCCACACAGATCCCTCAGCTTCTGACCCTGCCGGCGGAGTCTCGCCTCCTCCCTCGCCGGAAGTGGCGGACGGAGCCCCGGCTCTCCTTCGCGTCCGCTGATGCGATTCAAGCCGGGGAAGAAGGGTGTGCCTGGAGGGTGGAGAAGGGGCGCAGCTGAGGGCGATCTTCCGGAAGTTCAGGGCTTTGTTTCCGTGGGGAAGATCTTACGAGACGAACAGGGACACGACGGTGAGTCCTCGCCGAGCAAGAGCTGGCCGGGCGGGAACGGAAGACGCAGTCCCGGCACCCATTTTCTAGACAACGGATGTGATCCTCGGCTTCCTTGTTTATCGAGCGCCTCCCGAGGCCCGGTCCTAGGATGCAGCCCGGCGATGATCTGCTTAGTCTCTCCTTGATGTATCAGCTGACGATACATCATCCTGATAAGGCCGCGACTCATCAAAGTTGTGACAGAGGAGCTCGTAAATAGGGAGCTAGTCCTGGGTTCTGGGCGCGCTGGTAAATGGACTCTTACCGGCGAGTTGAAGGGAGGGAGGATTGCATCAGGGGAACTGTCTGTCCTAGAGGGCGCGTGGGGGCGGGATCTTGGTGAATTGAAGCTGAGAAGTCAAGTGCGGCGGTGGCGGAATGAGCGCGATCAGGGGAGGGCTGCGCTAGGAAGCCGAAGAGGGAGGAAGGGCTCAGATCATAGAGTTTGGAACGCCCGTGGGTGGAGGTTGGATGATAGGAGGGCAGGAATTGTGAGGCGATCACTTCTAGGAGGTCACAGATGTAGATGAGAGATGGTGGCCTACGGTGGTGGCAGTGGGTATAGGAGAGAATTGAAAGTGTCGAGATGATAATTAAAAATTGACAAGACTTTTGGATTAGATATGGGATTTGAGTGAGAGGTTAGTATCCAACGATGATTCGAAGTTTCTGACCTGAGTGAATTATATAAAACAAAACCAATTTGACATTTGCTAGGGGGCCTTTTTCCCCTAGTGTAAAAACAAAAACCACAAAAAATTTTTTCCTCCCTGGTTATATGTACTCATTATATTTTGTGTGCACACTGCAGAAAATTCAGAACATACACACAAAAATATTTTTTATAGAAAACAATAAAAATTACCTGCAATTCTGCTATCCAAGATGGCCGTATTTTGGTGTGCTTCCTTTGTGTTTTTGCTTTCTGAGTTCATCTTTTTGTATAATTGGGTATACATTCTGTCTGTATCTATTTTTTTTCCATTGGACGTTATGATAATAAAGGTTGAACTGCTGTGTGCTAGGACATTATTCACAAATTTTATTCTTTCCTGATTGTAACAGAAAAGATCAGATGTAATTCCAGCAAGTCAAGGATAACTTTTTGTTGTATTTTTCTTTCAATATTTTTTCTTTTTGTGTACCTTTTTAAAAACCCCACAATTTATGTCACATTTTGTTTTGTTTTCCAATCAGATGTGAAGTACTTAATGTTATTTATTGCTATATTTACACATCCTTAACTACTCTTCAAGACTAGTTTTTAGTGGTTGTTTAGTAAAAACCAATCCCCTGTTACTAGTTAGGTAGGTTTTCAACTTTTTACTCTTAGGATGATGAGAAGGACATCTTATTACATAAATCTTCAGATTGCCAATTTATTCCTTAAGAAAAATGCTAGCAATGGAACCTCCTAGGTAAAAGGATAAAATGAACCTATAAAATTGTCTCACCCAAATATCTCATTGGGACTTTAATTGAAATTGTTTTAAAGATCAGATTTTTGCAGTGCTTAGTTTTTCCATTTCAAAGATAGATTATGTCTTTCCAGTTATTTGTATTTTATGTCCTTTTCTTGTTAAATTTACGTCTATAAAGGGTCAGTATTATTATTTAAGAATTGTACCTTCGTGGCTAAATTCCCATGTGTGAAATGAATATCTTTGAGTTGTGTCATACTTTCTTCTATAAGATTCTTTATATTTGTGTCTAGGTTCTGCTAAAATATAAACAAATGGTGAGATCAGAAAGCTAAAAAGACCAAGTTAGAGTGAGTTTTCCTTAATGCTATAAGTAACCTGTGGTCTAAACAATTTTTGGTTTTCTGCTCCTAGTTGTCTGTTGGGAAGCTGCCCTTCTTCCATGCATCAGAGCCTGCCTTATCTGCACAGCCAGGGGGCCAGGTGTCAACCTTGATCCTTTCCCAGGAATGGTAAAGGAAGCTAGAAACAGCTCAGCAGGGTTAAGAAGACAGTGTCTCATGAGAATGCCAAATGTTTTGGGGTGGATTTTTCTAGTTTAACAGTTCTACATCTCATTATTCAAGTTACTTTAATATATTTAATTGTTAGTAAGGATATTTGTTTGTTAGTGACTTACAGTTGTTAACTTTTGGTCTTTTGGTCTTGTGCAATAGAATCTTGCTTATCAATGAAATGCAGTTAACACATCAGCTGGACCTATTTCCCGAACACAGGGTGACCCTTCTGTTATTTAAAGATGTAAAAAATGCTGGAGACTTGAGAAAAAAGGCCATGGAAGGTGCCATTGATGGCTCATTAATAAATCCTACAGTGGTAAGTACTCGTGGGAATGAGTGGACTATATGGGGAGTTTAAGAATATGATGAGTTTTCATGACATTATAGGTTAGCCTAAAATTGTTATCTTCAGGTAAAAAGTTCTTGTCCAAGCTGTAGAGTGGAATCAGATTTGGCCAGCCTTGAATTTAACAGTGAACAGAAGCCGAAGTGCCAGGGCCTGCCCTTGGAGATGTGACAGGTGGTCTAGCTCTGATGTGATGGCAGATGCCTGGATCTCCATCTTCCCTTCTGAACTAGAAAATCTCTGTAAAGGATACATTGCATAGTGGTAGAATCAGCAGGACTTAAATCCCAGATATGCCATTTTTTATGACTTTGAGCAAGTGGTAGCCAACCTTTATATAGTGCTAATTTGGTTCCTGGCATTGTTCTAAGTTCTTTACATATACCGCTAACTCACTTAATCTTCATAACAACCCTGTGAAGTAAGTATGGTGATTATCTGCTTCTACAGATAAAACACTAAGGAATTTGCCCAGGTTCCCTCGGTGGTAAGTGACAGAACTGGAATTCCAACTCATCCTTTGCCTTTATTTCCTCATCTATTGCATGTGAATAATGATACAGATATCATAGGGTAGTTTTGAGAAGTATAGAAAATGAAGGTAAAATGTTGAGAATATGACCTTTCCCATAATAATAGCCCTCAATAAGTGTTGTTTTAAAACTTTTTACTATTTACCTAAGTTGCTTGCAGCTGTAAAATTCTGTGATTTTCTAAACACCGTAGGCCCTTGAGATTTTGAAAATTTTGAAAATGTAGTCCGTAGGAATTGTGATGAAGTAAAACAGCCTGACACTGGAGTTACCATGATATAAGGCATATGTCTTCAGAGTACTCCAGAGTCTCTGTATGTAATTCTTTTTGTTCTCTTTGGTAGATTGTCGATCCATTTCAGATACTTGTGGCAGCAAACAAAGCAGTTCACCTCTACAAACTGGGAAAAATGAAGACAAGAACTCTATCTACTGAAATTATTTTCAATCTTTCCCCAAATAACAATGTAATTAATATGGAATTTACTTACTTTATATCTTTTGACCTTGTCATGGTAGCCTTTGTACTTATTGTTGGGTTGGAGCCTGTTGTTAGTAACAAACAAAAATAATAGTGAAGAAAGAATGCTGGACAGAGAGTTGAGGTTTAGTATTGCCTCTTACTAGACAAATAAGCTTTGGAGTCACTTCACATATGAGTAAACTAAAGTTTAGCTAAATTAAGTGAGGATAGTTTTATTTGTCCTTCCTGACCATATAGAGTCAGGAAGATCACTCTAAGTGATATTTAAATCAAATGATAAAAATTAGGCATGGATACTTGTGTGTTATCATGTGTATCTTTCGTTCTCCCCATAAACTCTTTGAGGATAGAACCCATGTCTTTTCCATACACCAGAAGTCTGCCTGGGACCTAGAACAGCCCTTTAACACATGCTCACACACCCATTGCATAGGAAGAGTTTGTGGTTTGAGATACTGATAGTAATCAAAGTTATTGAGTTAAAAGTATTCTACCTGGGGCACATTTGAAAAAAAAATGTAATTTTGCTGGCGAAGTTTTAGTATTACTGCTACTATTAACAACACAATCAAGTGCTGACATCAAGAGAAAAGTTAGGAAACCCATGGCATAGTTTAAAATACAGATGTTTGAAAAGTTTATAAAATGTGTGGTGATAGAATTCCCCAGTACCTGGGGGAAAATTACTGGGTTACTATTGTTTCTTTGAGATCACTGAAATAACTCAGGAGACTGTACAATTCATAAACATCTGTTGAGCTTGTCCCTGTTCCAGCTGTAGGGGCAGAAGAAACAAATATGTTTCTGAGGCAGGCAGATGAACAAGACAAAGTCCAAATGCCCTAAGATAATTGATATGGGAATAATAATGCAAATCCGTGGGAACAAAGAAGCAATTCATTCTGTAAGGAGGAAAGTGCAAGGGGAGTGACATTTGAACTGGACCTTGAAAGATGAGGGCACTCCATGCAGAGGGCAAAGTGTGAGCCCAGGCAAAAAAGTATGAAATGACGGGAGCCCCAAACAGTCCCGACTGGCTAGAGGGCAGGAGTGCATGGCTGGAGGGTCACTTAGGTCCAGGGGGAGTGGGTGTTTGTGCGCCATGCCAAGTCCAGGCTTGACTCTATGGGAATGAAGTGCAGCTTTGAGCAGGGAGTACTCAAGAGGCAAAGCTGGTAGATATTAGGAAGGGATTGCTGAAAAACTGTAGACAGAAAACCATTAGGATATGAAAAATAAGAATCTGACCAGGAAAGAGCACAAATGGGGAGAGATTTCAGATGTTGAAACTACTGGTTTTATTGTCCTTTTTTTCCCCCTTAGATTTCAGAGGCCTTGAAAAAATTTGGTATCTCGGCAAATGATACTTCAGTTCTGATTGCTTATATTGAAGAGGGAGAAAAACAAATAAATCAAGAATACCTAATATCTCAGGTAGAAGGTCATCAAGTTTCTCTCAAAAATCTCCCTGAAATAACAAATATTACGGAAGTCAAAAAGGTTTGTAAGCCTGTATTTTTAGAAAGAGCAATAATACTGTTTGCTTACTGAACACCAATGCCTCTCTATATATTTTTAACTTCTAAGAAAGGTTAATATAATTAAAAGTTACTTGAAAAATAATTATAGATTCAAAGAATTGGAAATGCAGGTTTATGTAACATAATTAAAAACTTAGTTGATGCATTCTTTTTTTATATATATAATTTTATTTATTTTTTTGTGGCTACGTTGGGTCTTCATTGCTGCGTACGGGCTTTCTCTAGTTACGGCAAGCGGGGGCTACTCTTCGTTGCAGTGCGCAGGCTTCTCATTGTGGTGGCTTCTCTTGTTGCCGAGCACGGGCTCTAGGCACGCGGGCTTCAGTAGTTGTGGCACACGGGTTCAGTAGTTGTGGCTCGTGGGCTCTAGAGCACAGGCTTTAGTAGTTGTGGCTCATGGGCTTATTTGCTTAGCAGCATGTGGGATCTTCCCGGGCCAGGGCTCGAACCCGTGTCTCCTGCATTGGCAGGCGGATTCTTAACCACTGTGCTAGGGAACCCCAATGCGTTCTTTTTAAAAGAATAGATAATTTTAAATATCTATATCTTACACAGTACATTTAAATATCTATATCTTACACAGTACTGTGTAAGATACACAGTATCTTACACAATGTAGTATGAAGTTAATGTCTAGATGTATGCTTTTAAAACTGGTACAAATGTATTTCTATGTTTAGAGAGTTATCACCATAACTGCAATTGAAACTTTTGACATAAGTGATGAATTGTCATCTACTTTCCATACTTTAATCACATTGTGATTTTACACCATTATCCCAATAACTGAGTAATAAATGAATTCACATATACATGCTCGTGTAATGAAAATTAGTAGTACATGAATATGTCAGCATGTCATAATCTGTCTTTTATTTTTACAGATATATAAACTATCTTCACAAGAAGAAAGAATTGGGACATTATTGGATGGTATCATTTGTAGGATGTCAACAAAAGATGTTTTGTGAAATGACAGAAATATTAAAAATTTTCAGCAATTATAAAAACCATTCATTATTTTTTCCGGATTATAAAATCTATTATGTTTGTTGTAGTAAAATTTAAAGCACAGAATGGTAACAAAGGAAAAAAAATAAAACCATTCCTGATCCTATCTCTTAATATTTTAAAAGATAACCATGGCTACTCTTATTTGTTACTGCCTTCTAGTCTTTTGTTTCTGTTCAGATTTATTTTTATGTAAGTGGAATAATTGCTAACATTTATTGGGTGTCTACAATGTACTGAGTTCTTGTCTTCATGACTTTATATCCCTCAGCTCATATTCCTGCACTTCCTTCTGGCTACTCCAGCATTGCTGTTCCAAGCCTCCTGGTTCCAAGTTTTTACATGCAAGAATTCATTTAATTGGGCTTCCCTGGTGGCGCAGTGCTTGAGAGTCCGCCTGCCGATGCAGGAGACGCGGGTTCGTGCCCCGTTTCGGGAAGATCCCACATGCCGCGGAGCGGCTGGGCCCGTGAGCCATGGCCGCTGAGCCTGCGCGTCCGGAGCCTGTGCTCCGCAAATGGGAGAGGCCACAACAGTGAGAGGCCCGCATAACGCAAGGAAAAAAAAAAAAAAAAAAAAAAAAAAAAATTCATTTAATTATCACAGCATCATATGAGGTAGATACTGTTAATACTCCCATTTTACACAAAGGCAACGAAAAGGTTGTAGAAGTAATAAATAACTTGCCCGAGGTTTTACAGCTAAAAGTCATGTTTTATAAATGCTTTGGGTTTTTTTTTTTTTTCTATTTTGTCTTAAAATATGATTGTGTCAGTCAAGATAGAGTAGGTTAGGGGTCAGCAAACTTTTCTGTTAAGGACAAGGTAGTACGTATTTTCGGTTCTACAGGCCATATGGTGTCTGTTGCACCTACTCAGCTCTTGCTGTTGTAGTGCTGAAGCATCCACAGACAGTATATAAATGATACACAGAGCTGTATCCCAGTAAAACTTTATTTACAAAAATAAGTGATGGGCAAGATTTGACCAGAGGGCAGTAGTTTCTGGACTCCTAGGTTAGATCAGGCTGTAATTTAGGGTCCCTAAAGCTCATTGGTTTCATACGACAAAAGTTTGTCTTGCTCGCTCCACATAGCCACTATGAATCAGTAGGAAGACTCATTGCAGTGACTCAGGAATCCAGTCAGCCAAAGGCTTTATGTCAGCATGTGCTCTGTGGGTCACTGCACAGCTGGAAGTCATGCTGTGAGTTACATGGTGGCTCTTAAAGCTCCCATGTGGAAGTGACAGATATTGCTTATCTCATGTTTCACTGTCCAGTCACATGGCCATGCCAACATCAAAAGGGGTGGGGGAGTGCGATCCCGCACCATGATAGAGAATGGAGAGGTAGAAATCCTTAGGGGACAAACGTATATTTCCATTGTGGTCATAAATAATAAGGTACCAAAGCACATCGTTAGCGTTTCTTGCATGTGCTGCGCTAAGCTCTTTATATGCACTGCCTCATATAGTCCTCTCTACAACCCTAAGAGATTTTACCACCTTCAAGGAAGCAAATTTAGTCTCTGTACTCTATTTCAAAAGGTTTCAAACCTACGGAACAACTGAAAATAATACAATGAACATCCATGTGACTTTCATGTGATTTCACTATTTGTTATGTGATTTCACTAGTTGTTAACATTTTGCTACATTTGTTTGCTTTTCTGAAATATTTGAAAGTAAATTGCAGACCTCATGGCACTTCACCCTACATTGTGTTTAGTTGTCATGTCTCTTAGTCTCCTTTAATCTAAAACAATCTTTTTTTTAAAGATTTTTTTTTTGATGTGGACCATTTTTTATAAATATTTATTCGTAAGTATTTTTATTTTTTAAAATATTTATTTAATTTTGTTGTGCCGGGTCTTAGTTGCAGCTGGTGGGCTCCTCAGTTGTGGCATGCAGGCTCCTTAGTTGCAGCATGCCTGTGGGATCTAGTTCCCTGACCAGGGATCAAACCTGGGCCCCCTGCATTGGGAGCACAGAGTCTTAACCACTGTGCTGCCAGGGAAGTTCCGATGTGGACCATTTTTAAGGTCTTTATTGAATTTGTTACAGTATTGCTTGTGTTTTATGTCTTGGTATTTTGGCCACAAGGCATGTGGGATCTTAGCTCCCCGACCAGGGATCAGATCTGCACCCCTTGCAGGAAGGAAAAGTCTTAACCGCTGGACCGCCAGGGAAGTCCCATAGAACAATCTTTCTTTCTTTCTTTCTTTCTTTCTTTCTTTTTTAAGTGATGTTGACATTCTTTGACGAGTACCCTAGATGTGTTTCAGAATTTCAGAATGAGTTTGTTCATGATTCAAGTCAGCTTAAAAATTTGGGGGAATGATAGTAGATAGATTTTGTGTCCTTCCAGTTGTGTATTGTTGGGCGGCACATCATGTCAGTTGGCCTCATCATTGGTGATAGTTTGGTCACTTCATTAAGGTGGTCCCCACCCGCTGCCAGACCTCTCCATTATGAAGGCATCTTTTCCCCTGAAGCTTAGGGAGTCAAAGCTGCTGTAAAGCTCAAAGTGCTTGTGGTCAAAATTAAAACTCACATCTATCTGAGTGACCCCTGATTCTATGCTCCTAATGACTCCATCACACTGCTTCTTCCCATGCCATCACTCTCAAACATGTTTTTATCAATGTGAAACATCACATATGTAATTCTATTTTTATACAATGACATTGCTTTCAATTTTTCACTTCGCTTTTGCAAATAAATCTCTGTACACATCTCTTTCTTTAGGATAGCTTCCCTGAAGTGGAGTTATTAGGGAAGAGGATATGAATTTTTTAATACCAGAAAGGTGCCATTTTGCACTTGTAATGGGCACAAGTGTGCCAGTCTCAGCAGATTCGCCAACAATGCCTTTTAAGTCTTCAACATTTTCACCATTTTGAGTTGTCAGACTACTGGTGAAGTTGAACTGTTTATTAGTTTGTTATGAAGAGTGTTTTGAAAGTGTTATAAATAGTTATTTCTGTAACTATTTATAATGTTTTCAACTCCTTGTGAGCCTTTGGCTGAAGAAGAAAAAAGAAAAAGTAATGCCATTTCCTGGGAAAGAAGGTAACGTAAGCTCCACCAGCTTTTTCTCTAAAATAATTGATGCAATTTAGGAACAATGTTCTTTGTTCCTAAATTAACCAGGTTGCTTCAAAGCCTAAAGGCTCCCCAGCAAAAGCAAGCTGTAATTATAGGGACTTTGGTGCTGGCAGAGAAGGGATGCAGTTTGGTAGGACACACTTATCTGGCTCCCTAGTCAAGGGTTACATATTAAAATAAAAATCCAGCTGTCTCTGGGATAAGGTGAGGGAAGGGGGCTCTGTTACCCAGGAAATCATTGTTGCTCCCCATCTCCCCAGTCTTGGGAACAACTAAGGCTGTAACTACAGTGAAATGGTCTTTAATCCCCTATTCCCCTCCCCACCACACACTCAGAAGAACTACAAGAACTGCTCCCAAGCCCTGCACCTTCTTTTTAGAAGGAGCCTAATGGCTCACAGGTTATTTCAGGCCTCCTGCTGCCATTCTCATTCTGCTTTTCCCCTTGATGACCTTTCCACTTGTCTGCAAACTGCAGTAGTCAATTCCTCTGCTCTGGAACCTGTGCTGGGGTTGCAGCTGCTTCTCTGCTCCTGGCTTTGTTTTCCTGACTGACGTGCCATATCTACTCCATGTTACAATATTGAGTAAAGCACAGCTCTCGAGGTTGACTGATTGGGTGCAATGAGCAAAGTTTGTATTCATCAAATTTGCCTGTTCTTGTTTTCATATCCGCTGTGCCAGTAGTCTCCCATTGTTCCCTCCAGGTCACCCTTCATCTTTCTCCACTCTTCTCTCTGCCCTGGAGGCTGACTTACCGTGTACCCAGCAAGAGGTCCTCCCTTCCCCTTGGCTTCTACTTGGGTTTGGCCAGTGTGTGTCAAGGGGGGAGGCTAGCAGGAGAAGGAGGCCAGGGTATTTATTCTCCTGGCCCCTCCCTGCAAGGACCCCTAGGCTGGCTTTGGCCCTGAACCTCTCAGGGCGGTCTGCGCTACTCAACTCCTGGGTCAGGGTCCTATCACCTCTCCCTCCGCCTCGCTTCAGGCCTCTGAGCAATAACACGACTCGTTCCCCTCTACCCATCCACACCTTCATAATTAGGCCCTCTGGTGATCTATATCTGTAAAATCAGCTCAAGTTATCCTAATTTGAGTGCTGATACCATCTCCCTTTTGCTAAATTTGTTAAAAGGTTAGGTTAGATTAGAAACGTTTCTGTAGAGCTGAATCATTGTTCTAGGATTTCTGAACATCCTGCCAAGGACCTATTAGTCCACTTTCTTTCCCCTTGAAATAATTTGCTGTTATTTCCTCTCATTCGTCTCTTTTAAGTTATGAGTTCTCAGTGGGAGACCAGGGCACTGACCTGAGGCTAGGTTATTGGGAGCCCCGATGATAGATCAGGGGAGATGATGTTCTTTCCAGGTCGTTTTCCTTCTCTTTCTGAGGCTTCTAAAACACTATGAGTCTTGTCTACCTTCCATTTCATTGGCCCATTTCTGGACTGAGCTGGTCTATTAGGCAAGTGTTCTTCATAAATGCAAGCATGGGATTTCATTGACATGTTGCTCTCAAGTCCCACAACTCTGGGAATAACAGTGATTTCAAAAATATAATTACCTATTATAATCAGGCTCCTATAGGCAATATAAAATAAAATAATTTATCCAGTTACTTGTAACTGTTTAATTAACTGTAATGAGTTAACAGTTACTTGTTAAGCAAGTAACAGATTAACAGTGATATAAATGCTTAATGAGAAATGCAAAGGCTTCAAAGAGGGAGCAGATACAAGATCCATCTGCTTGGGAGGGGTCAGAAGTCTTGATGGAGAAGGTAGCACTAAACTGGATCTTGAAGAAAGAACAGAGCCTTAGTCACGTATTGGAATTTGGTCAAGTATGGTCTGACCGCTGGTGATAGGGGCGTAATGAGGCTTGTAGGTGAATCTTGCATCCCAGCAGACAGAGCTGGTTCTCCT